TCGTTCGTTTTTAATGTTCATTTGATTGCTTTTGAAATGTTTGGGCGTTCAATGAATTTATTCTATTTATATTGTTGTCTAATTTTAGTTATAAATAAAGCAACTGCACAACCTGCACCTTGAGTACAACGTGCAACGAAACCATACTGAAATTGCATATACCTGCTGGTGATTTACCAGTATTGAAAATATTTGAACATTTTTTATTACAAATTGAAACATAAATAATAATTAATTCCCTTTTAATTACGAGATCAACTAACATAAACTTTAGATCTGAATTGATCCAAAGTATTTCAAGTTTCCACGTGTTTATTATTGCTTTTTACACACACTTCAAATATTTTAAATGATATGTTTTGCAGCATTGACCTTAAAATCGATGGATATTTTTTGGACGGTATAAGCTGGCATGATTGTTTGACGAGTAGTCATAAGTATGAAATGGCGCTAAAAATATCTATTAAATCGTTAGATGAATTTTCATAAAATGCCTATTATTTCAAAATCTGCTTCAAAATTATATGGTGGTAAGATTTCGGTCGACTTAATATTTTTTTCGAATTGAATAAAAACGAAAAATGAACGCGGTGATTCAAGATTGTAGTTTGGAAAATTGTGAAACTATAGAAGACGATTTGTTCGTTTATTCTTGGAATGTATTAACAGTGAAAGTTTTAATTTAGACTTATAAATATACACCATGCAATAAGCAGTCTCAATTCAAAGACTGCGAACTTTGTATTTTACTATAGGTACATAGTTCTTCAATTCCGTTTGGAAAGTTAGTCCGCAAAAAGACATTTTGTTTACATTTTTTCCTATTTGTCAGTGAATTCAAGGAAGAACATGAGGACATCCATGCCCAGTATATGCAAACATTTAGAGAATTGCCTCGTAAATTTTAAAACAGTTCAAATTATAAATCATTAAAATCTATCATCGACTTAATCATATCAATCATAAATTTGGATTCAATGATTGTTGAAAACCCTTTTGATTTAATTTGTAGAGGTTTCACTGTATAAAGCAACAAGTCTAGAAGTTTTGATAATGGCAAAGGGTTAGAAAATATTCGTTCTTTGTATTTATGTTAGTTTTTATTGAGACTGGCGCTAATTCCACATATTTTTTATTGATTGTAGATAATCTTTATCTGAATTATACCGTTTTTTACATTACTATATCATCAGTTTTATTGAAAATCCTTTTATGGGAATTTTTCGCACCTGATATGGTTGGCCGTGTCAAGTTTGGTTCATAAATAAATCAATCCCTGTAGTCAGTGATCGCAAAGTATTGAACATTTATGTATAATATTAGCTTATTCGACGGAAAAAAGACGCAACAGGAAACTTGTTAAAGATATATTTATTGACCAGTTTTTGGAAAAAATCCATGAAGCCAAAGACATCGTGATCAATATTTTAAAATCATTTAAAGAAACTGTTAAAAAGTTAAGTTAAGCAAGTGATTAAAATGCTGTCTATTTACTTTGAATACTGTGTAAATGCATTTAAACCGCTGCAAAATCCCACATTCCAAATTTTGTATGTTTATGTATTAGTCCATGTCCTCAAGTCATCCAAATGATTTGGCTAATTTTTTAATTCACAATTTTGAAAGTGGAGATTTATAATAACATCATTAATTAATCGAAACCATACGGCAAAATTACGGACATCATCATCCCCGTTTTGCGTGTTCATTAAAAAAACCTTTCAACTAGCCAAGCTTGAAAGTACAAATCATACCAAGTTAGCATCTCTAGATACCTTATCATCTGCAAGTTATTTAAGGGCACTCACAATCGTTTAACTTTTTAAAATATAAAAGTACAAAAGTCCAAAAATATATTAAATGTATTAACTAATATAAAACTGGCGTTATGCGTTATTTCAATGATAACAAGATACATTTTAGGATAAAATTTGGAAATTTTGTAACTCTCTTAAACTGAACGACCATTGAAAAAGAAACATGTTCTATTTTACCAGCCCCAACAAATTATTAAACTTGTTTGAAATACTTCATATTTTCTTGCAACAGGTTGGTCGATCAATAACCTGTTAAACTTATTCCTAAACGGTTATAATTCAATTTATAAATCGTGTCCTGTATGCATATAATTAATATGACAATGTTATTTATTAGTATTAAATATTGATGTCATGGTGAAATAAAAACAAGTCGTGCATGATCAATTATTGAACTAAATGTTTGAAATTTCTTACATGGAAGTTATGGTTCAATATTTCGCTATTCCAGTATCATTTCTGATATGTTTAACCAATTAATATTTCGGGATTTACCTAGCTTTTAACTGTCTAAAATTATGACAATATCCCCTGAATAATATCAAGAGAAGTTATCAATCTAGTTAAATTATATTAATTTACTATTGATAAAATCGAATGCAACTTAATAAACTTTTTTAAAACATTTGATGTAACAAGTGTAAATTATTTGGCCATAAAGCCTTTATAACATACTTTGGTTGTCTTTTAAAAAAGAGTGAAATATTTTCTTTCATTTACAACTTCAAGAGGTTGCTGTAAAACTTTTTTTCACGTTAAAAGTAGACTTGCGACAGGAGAGGAAAATGCTTATAATTACCTTTTTCGTTTAGTGGGTGTTTCCATTTTTAAACATCCAAAAATAAAGTTGGGTTAATTCTATCAAGTGGTCTGTTACTCAACTTGAAACGTATACATGATGAACGGATTCGAAAACAACAGGAACCTGAGAATAGTTGAGAAAAAATAGAACAACGCGATATAAATGCAATGAGGCGAGATGTGTGCCAAGAGGTATTATTCTCACCACATTATTTGTTTCGGAAATCCAAAAGACCCTTCGTTTCATAACTAATAGATAAGTAAATTCAGCATGAAAAAATTTTAATACATGGAAACTAAAGTTCCAGTTTTTCTAACTGAATGTCATATCCAGAGTCTGAGTCCAGTCATATAGCTGAGTCATATCCAGAGTCTGAAAATCTAACGCCGAGTAAATGTAAAGAATATTTTTAGGAAGGAAAATATTGTATCTTTAGTTGCCAGGAAATGTTTTATTTTTTTTGTACACTCGAAAGAATTTTTTATTTAAGAAATCCAAGTAACTATTTTAGCTTGGCGAGCCGCAAAAATTCCTCCACACTCAAAAGTTCTTTGTGCCCAACCACACGCAGATTGCTAGTACGAAAAATATTCGTTTTTTTTTGTTAACGTTTTCCAAAAATTATATTTTTGAGCATGCATGCAGCAATGGCAATGTAGAGAAAAACATTTTCAGAACAATTTTCAGAAAAAGTTGTATTTTTTTAAATCTCTAATGCTTAACTAGTTATAAGCTCGCTAGTTCCTGAAAAAGTTGCAGCGCTGAATGTTTTATTGATAATTTTCGGACCTAAATTAACAGGAAAATGCATCTTTACTGCGTGTACTTCTTAGACGACTTCTTAAGCCTCTTAATTGATTTGGCCTTACTGATTTGGAAGGTTCAGCAACAACCAGACGATTTTTCTCAAATTTTCTTCCAAATTTCGTCGCAAATAGTTTCATAGGCGTAGATCTTCGGTTTCTTGCGATTTTGAAATATCAATTTACTTTTGTACACAAGCATACTTAAAATAATTTAAAAAAACTTAAATTAGGACCACGAAAAAAATATTCAAAGATTATTATTCTCGAGAGCATGTAAATGAAATTTTGTAGGTGTTCCAATCCAATTAATATAGCTGCTACAGTGTAAATGCTAAAACTAATGAAAATTAACTCATGTGCATATGCAATTTCTAATGAAAATTTATAGGTCGTTGGCATGTTAACTGAAAATACTGTTGGCACATTTTCAGAATTAAAAATTGCAAGGCCTATAGTGCAAATTACAAACCTTGGCATATAATTTATTAATAGCGAGCAATTTTATGAATGTACCAGAATATTCAACAAAATAACCTCCAGATTTCACTTAAACCTGATGCGAAACTAATCACGCATGCATAATCTTGTAATTTGTTACTGTTAGATTTATTTAGTACACCTTTTTAATTTTCTCGGAATTTTACCACGTAAACTTTGATTAGTAGCCATTAATTAAAATTGAATTCGCGGCTCTCCCTTTAGAACAGGTTTTAGATGTAGATGTAGATAACGTTCCCGAAATTGAATTTTATTAGAGAAATGGAAATAATTAGCAGCAGCAAATAAAAAACAGCAATTAAATATTATTGGGAGATAATAGTGACGATGTTTTTGCACATAACAATGCTGGAAATAAATGGTTTGACATCGTTTCATCGTATTTTACGATTATTATGAACATGGGATCTCAAAAATTCTCTTGAATTTTTCGACAGGAAGTAATTCTCAAATAAATCAATTGAACAGTAATATTGTTTAGGATATTAATCATACTGTAGAAAACAGTGAAACAAGTACAAAGGAAATGAACAGCAATTGAAGCCATAATAAGAAACATATGTGAAAATTAGATCTTGAAATGCACTAAATAGCTTTTTGACTTGATTTGGGCAATATTTCCATAAATTCTCCAGTTACGAGAAAATAGTTCATTCTTAATATTTTTAGCTTCAGAACTTGATTGATGATTAAAATTAATGGTGAAATTTTTTTATTTATCTAAGTTTATTTAATCCAAACATTTAACAATTTAATCAGTGGTTTAACGCTCGCTGTAAAAGAGTCTTTTTGAAGAACAAGTTATAATTAAGTTTATTAATACTTATTTTTAGTTTTCGGTTTCGCTTTTCATAATGCGACACATGTATGTTTCTTTGTTCTTGAATAAAAATTTGTTAGTTTTGAATAGTGATTTTATTAAATCATTACTTCTCAAAGCGAGTTCTTTATGTTAGGATTTATTGTTTAGGGGAAACATACTAACACAGATGAGATTTGACTGATATGGGTATTTTTGCCAATTTTGTTTACTGTATTGTTTTCGTATTCTAACAATAAATTATTATTTAATTACAGTTGAGCGAGATGACTGCGGATTTGGCTGAAGAACACTCAACAGCTACTTTGGCAGCTGAGAGGCTTGATGCAGAAACTTCAGAAAGAATGCGTTTGGAAAAAGAATTATCGGAGACCAAACACAAGAACAAAGAACTACAGCAGTCTTCTGAACGGTTGGAAATGGAACTACTCTACGCTAAATCGGATTTGAATGGAATTTGCGAAGAAGATGAAGACGGAAGTGAGTTTTAATATGTTGCGTTACTGCTCTTGTATTTATATGAATTTATTAAGAAAACGTTCAAGTAATTTTATAAGACAGAGTTATTCGGCAAAACAGTAAATTGTTCAAAAATAATATCAAGAAGTTGAACTGCAGTGGATTTACTAAATTATTAATACTTTTTTCTGCGGCTATTTGAATTTTGATAAAAACATGGCAATATTTTATGGAATAAATACTTTCGTCTAAAAAACGTTGTTTAGTGGATACATTTGCTAGTCGTGTGTATTCCTTTGCAAATATGTGAATTTGGGTGCTTTTAAACCAGCGTTTTAACCCAGCATCTTCTTCTATGTGCGATTGAAATTGTTTTTAAAATGAAGCAAGCACAAATGAAGGGAAAAACAGTAATCTATTATTGTGTTCATTGCTTATTGAAGGACGGTCATTAGTTAATGGTATTAACGACTTTCTTGAAGATTATTCGGTTGTCTAATTAAAGTTTATTTGTGTCAGGCGAAGGTGACGGGGTCTATAAGCAGCGATACGAAAGAGCCCTTAAAGAACTCGAATTTACTAAAAGGAGATTGCAGCAACAACATGAAGATGATTTAGAACAACTTGTGGGCCTGAAGAAGCAACTAGAAAAGAAGGTATGTATATCGGTAACATATTCTGCAATGTAACCCCATTTGATTCAACCGTAAATCTTATTCAACTATGCATTTCACGTTACTTGGTTTTTATCTGGTTTTGCCCATTAAATGTTTTTGCTCTTGCTGTTTGTCTAAGTACTAAACCAGAATGAATTAAAATCGAAATCTATTAATCAACTGAATCTTATGTATTCATTTGTAGCGAACTTTTTGAGATCAAATTTGTAACTTTAGCTTCTTCAAGCTTTATAATGCACTTTTTGTTTTTACTACGCCTCATGATTTTTTTGTTGAAATAAACCAGACCTTAAAATCAACATGAAAAGGAAAAAAGTACATAACACTTGTTGATCTAATGCTCAGTGGATACTGTAACATTAAACCTCAAATATCCCAGACGCAAAAGTGTAGGCTTACAAACCCACTAATGTGTCTACTTCAAGTCAGTTGAAAAGTATTTTTTTACCAGATCTTTACCAGATTTATTTACATAAGGCCGAATTACCGCGTAGTCAGTTTGTCCTCTTCGTTTATGTATTTGGGGCTGAATGTATTTGGCTTTTTGCTTTTGCAAAAATGCAGAAAAAATCAATAGGTCAAGAATTCTGCATGAAAAAAAAATTAAAAATGATAAAATTTCAAATCAAGTTTATATAGCATTTTCCTAAGTCTCAAGAATAATGGGGCCCCAAATTTAGATTGTTTAAATTATTTTTACTAAACGTGTTACCGGTGTTTTTACCGATTGTTTTAAATTTGTCTCAAGTATAAAATTTAAACCTTTTCATTTTTTGTTTTAAATAATAAAGCAAAAAATGGAAGAACCTATGAAACACGCAAAGAAGGTGTACTTGTCAATCCGAGCCACCGTCGAGAAAATCGCATTTAAATAATATCTTGCAGTAAAGTCCCCAAAATTAAAACATTTTCATAAATAGTCTCTTAAAAAGCTGTGTGCTCCCAAAGCTAGTTTTGTTGTGTAAATATATCAATAGAATCATGTTCATATTCTTTAGCATTGTATAAGCATTTGCTTTTTTTTAAATCGCGTTGTATCAGCGCATTTACACCCATTGTATCTGACTAAATATTTTACTACTCTCGCAATGCCAATCTATTTAAAATTTGAAACATGTTATCTACCGACTGATAAGAATTTATTACTTTTCACGACGATCCTGTTAAAGTAGGTAAATACCGAACGATCCATATAACTCAAAGTAAAGCAAACTTAATGTAATAATGGTTTTTCTGTTTGGTAATTACTATTGGATATTTGCAGCTAGCTGATGCCTATGAAGAAGTTGAGGAACAACGACAAGTGGTTGGAACTTGGAAGAGAAAAGTGCAAAAACTGAACGGCGAAATGAACGACTTGAAGTTACTATTAGAGGAACAGAGCAGTAGAAACAATCTTTTGGAGAAAAAGCAAAGGTTGATATTATCTTCTGTTTATAGTTCAATAGCTGATATTGTGAAGTTTATTGAAATAGAGAAAGAACTGTTCTTTTCTATGTTGACCGATTTTTTCCAACTTTTTTTTGTACCTAACTGATTGAGCATATTTTTACTTATCATTCACATCAAAAAGTTCACTTACTCAATTATGTTTCAGGAAATACGATTCAGAAGCTGCTATGTTGCATGACGAACTTAAGAAAGAAAAACACGCCAAAGATCGACTTTGCCGGGAAAAAGAAGTACTTATGGCCGAAAAGTTTGCTATGGAAAGCACAATCGCTGATGTTCGACTGGAGTTAGAATTAAAGGAGGAACGATTGTCTGCATTACAACGGGAATTTGATGAGATCACTTGTGGAGGTACAACTTTTAAGCTATTAGAAAATGAAACTGGGATTTCCCACATATTTTAAGTCCTAATGTGGTTTAACTTTATGCATGTTTAAAAATCGTTAGTGTAGTACGTATATTTTATTTATTAAATCTGCCCCAGGCAAAACGGAAGAGGAAGTGACGACCCTCCGAAAGCAGAAAATTGACTGTGAAAGACGGTTGCAAGACCAAGAAGAAGAACTTGACGAACTAGCCGGTCAAGTACAGTTGTTGGAACAAGCTAAACTGCGACTGGAAATGACCCTGGAATCAATGAGAAAAGAAGCCAAAAAAGAGTCGCAGATGAGAGAAGAGGAACTGGAAGATGCTAGATGCAACGCGCAAAAGAAAGTTAAAGGTGCGTGAAAACTAACCCAAACTTTAAACATTTATCTCTTAGCTCTGAAGGTGTTTGAAGAGAGCAAAAAGTGACACAACCGTATTTATCATTGCAGCGCTGGAACAGCAATTAGAAAATGAACATGAAGAACGTACGACTCTGCTGCGGGAAAAGCACGAGTTGGAAAGAAGGCTTCAAGCAGCTGCAGATTCTGACAGACAAGATAGGGCAGGCGATGAAGCTTTGTTGCAAAGGCTAAAGAGGGATTTGAAGCGAACCAAGGCTTTATTGAGAGACACCCAGGCGCAACTGGAAAGACAGAAGGCTGAAACTCCAGGTAAGAAGCACACAGTTTTCTCACGTGATGTGTTCACGGAGTTCTTTTTGTCAACCGATTTTCGTTTCGATCTTTAGGCAAAAATATGATCAGACAGTTAAGGAACCAATTAGAAGACTTGGAGTGTGCCCGTGCAATTGCCGCTAAAACTAAACAGAGTTTGGAACACGAATTATCCGAAATGCAAGGGCTCTTGGAGGATGCCCATAAGCAAAAGTCGGATGCTGAAGACAGAGCCAATGGACTACTGCGCGAAAAATCTGATATTCAGACCCAATTGGAAGAAAATGAAGAGGAATTGGCTGAGGTTTTGAAGAAATATAAAGCTGCAGTTCAACAGGTGCGTCCCCGATAGAACATTGAACTTTACAAATTTATATTTAAACTTTGTTCCGTTTAGATGTCAGTTGATCAAATGGCGTTGCAAGAACAGGTGTCAATAGTATCGGAACTGGAAGTGGAAAGAAACCATTTGAAAGAACAGCTTGCGGAATTATCGACAAGATTGGAAAGTGCTGAGAGCATGGGTGGTGCATCTTCAAATCTGCTTTATAAAAGGTAAGTCCGTTAGTTCCTCAAATTTAGACGGAGCGGTTTAGCATTTAAATTTATATCTAATGTCGTATCGGTAAAGGCCCGATTACTGGAAAACAATTCGGCTGATAAATATATGCGTGCAAAGCAGGAGCGCACGTGTTTTGCAGGGGAATCCAATTTTACTGGGAACCCATTTTTGAGCTGATTAACAATTGCCAGCAGGGCAGAAGCGCACGTGTCTTGCCAGGGAACCCATTTTTACTTGGAACTCGTTTTGAGCCGGAAAAAATTTGCCAGCAGGGCAGAAGCGCACTTGTTTTGCAGGGGAAACCCATGTTTTTTGAATGAAATAAATAGGCCCGCATAGCCAGACCGGGGAGAGTGGGTGATAGGTTTCGTCGCGTTACCTATTGTTTTCTCGGGAGCGCGCTTGGACATAATACCCAGTGAGCCAAGAAAGACTTTTACGAACGATTTTACGAACTATAGTGTGTGGCGTAGTATTTCCAGGGGGTATTCCCAAGTGGTGACCTTATTTTTTCAGAAGGTTTGTGTTGTGTTATTCATTATAAAGTTACCACCCATTATGAATCCGACCGATAATGAGATTCACCGTTCTGGTGGGGACAACCTAGCGCTACAGGGGACAACGGTGGTGAAACCTAGTTCACCCACCAACTCTAATTCAACTACCTATATGGACCAAAGTGCGGCCAAATCTCCCGCGTCATCAATCGGTGAATGTTTCGGCTTTTCGGTTTCCCCCCAACGCAACACTAACATACATGTATATTTAGAGCGTAAAAGATGCCCGTTGACGCGCTTGGATTAATCGGGCAACAGATATATGCAGAAAAGCTGTTTCTTGAGGCAACCTTAGGTTTTTTATAGGTCACGGAAACGATGGCACTCAAAAAATATTGTTATTTTGATGCCGCCTATTAACCGATTAACCCGAGAACTTCAACATGATCCAATTAGTATCACTGCATTTATATGTAACGGTCAAGCATGAACATTTCTTTTGTACATTTTTGACTAGAAATTACATTTTGAGTAAAAAAGTCTCGGACTCCTGAAAAAATATACCGAATAAATCGCCACATTTGAAATATTGTGCCCGTTCTTAACCACTTTGTATGTTATTCCATTTAACTGCTAATATCTTTTGCGCAGGGTGACACAAAAGTTCGGAGACAACTTGTTTTAATCATAACTTTTTATTAAACATACAAATTCAACAAAATTATACACATTTGAAAGCCAACAAAATTTCTACAAAATACACAAACAACTATTCGAAATGGTCACCTTCATCCGACGCACAGGCCTGCAGACGCTTGCGGAAATTTTTGACGATGGTCACAAGTGTTTTTTCTGAGATTTTGTCCCACGCGTTTTGGAGAGAACGCTTCATGGACTTGACGGTGTTGTGGATCGACCAAATTGTAAGTCCGTCGGATTCAGGACGGGCGAGTTGGACGGCCACAAAGTCTTATCCCAGACGGAGATTTTGTTGGTTTTGCAAAAATTAATGGTCGACCTAGCAGAATGAGCCGGTGGTCAATCCTGTTGAAGTGCCCAGGGCCGATTTTTGAAGTGTTCTCTGCTTCAGGGGTCACGATGTCTTTCAAAATGTGTTCTAGGTAGACTTGGGCGTTGATCTTGACACCGCGCTCGACGAACACCAGCGGCGTCATTCCGTTTTTCGAAATTCCCGCCCAGCCTCAAAATTGATTGTTGCAAAGAGCAGAACATTCTGAACAATAACAAGTGAGTTCCCAAGAAATTGACGATCCTTCTGGCGATTAACGACGCTGTCAATCGTGAACACCTTTTTGTCTGTGAGGGAAATCGATCTCAAATACTTTTTGGATGAGTCGCTGCGTATTCTCGAGTCGTACTCGCTTCATTCGCTGATTCAAGTGATGACATCATTGAAGCTTTTCTTTCCTGGCCGCCTCTCTGTTAATACCCACTTCTTTGGTCAATGTTCTTATAGAATTTCCCGAATTCCGGCGAATTTGACACCTCAGCTCGTTTAGGTTCTTTGGGGTCGTTGCGCTGGTCGGTCTTCCTCTTCGAGGCTTGTAAGCCGCCGTGTCCAACTCCTCGTATTGCTTAATGGTTCTGTAGATCGTGCTTGTTGGAATACGGAGGAGTTTCGTGATTCAGTCAGCCGGCGACTTTTCCGATTAGAAGAATTTTACGACGGCAACACGGTTTGTTTCACGGCTCATAGCGACTGTACCTTCAGTGTTACCCAACAATGTTACCTATAGTAACAGTGTATTAGAGAGTAAGTCTTGATTTTGTTCCTTCGATTTTTAGATCCAGCTAGGAAACATCAATCGTACTTAGTTAGAAATGGGATTAGAAATTGTCTCTACATAAGAGGACTATTCACTCTCCCTTTCACTTTTCTTACATACGCACTGCAATACCTGCTTTACTTGCTCAATATAATTCGATGTGTTGCTTAAAGAAACTTTCCTTTCAGATCCGAGCTCAAAGTTAAGGAATTAGAATCCAAGTTGGAACTGGAACAAACCACGAGGTCGAGATTAGAAGTACAAATTGCACGCTTGAAGGAAACAGTTGAAAAATTGCAAACTGACATAACGGCTTCCCGAGTAAAAGAGCAACAGGCCCAAGACCAAGTTCGCAAATTGCAAAGACATGTTCGGTGAGTACAAAACTGGATATTCACATTTACAATTGTAACGAAATATTACCCATAACGAATTTTTTAATCTTGTCACAAATGCGTAGCAAGGCTACTATTGTTTATTAGTTTATTAGTTAGTGAGTTACTTAATTTTATACGTGTATATAATAGTGTGCAGTCTGTGGGCCGGTGTCCTTTGGATGCATTTTCGTCCGAACTGTTTTTGTCAGAAATCGGGCGAAAATGAACGGATGATCTAATTTCAGTGCAACGTACTAGATCCGTCTAGCTTGTCTACTAGATCCAAAATCACTCGCACGCGCCATTCTAAGTAAATAGGGACCTAAGGCCGCTCGTCCTTTGCGTGCGTTTTTGTGCGAACTGCGTTCGTCAGATTTCGCATATGTGGGTATCGTCCGCTGGAAGATTTTTATCGTACGAATTGGTCATGTGTTGTTGTGTCAAATAAGAACATTTAAACAGAGTAATTAACAGGGTGTACCGATAAGGGTAAAGAGCGGCTGTATCTCGACAACGGTAAGGACCAGCGGTTTGGGAAAAAATTCCTTTTGAAAGTAAAGTTGGCATAAAAAAAGGCTGGAAAATGTGTTGAAGTTAGCTCGACCGCTAGGGGGCGTAACTTCTACTACAAAACAAAAAAGTTCTGCTATCTCGGAAATAGGGGAGATGAGCTGTAACTTTAAAAACGACATTCGAGAGCTTGTGTAATACCGCATCGTTTATCTCTTTAACATTTTTTTGTATCTCATAATAAAGACGGGAAGGGCAATGCAGTTTTCAATAATTACAATTGAATATCTTTTAAAAGTAATCTTTTGACAGAACGTTTAGTCTGAACCAAATCAACTAGCTTTTTCTGCAGCGATTACAATTTTTTTTTAATTTGAAATAGTTAAATGGAACGATACTCTTAATTTGACATACACTTAGACAAGTTGAAATTACCTACATTTCAGTGAAAACCACATTTCCAGTCGTTCCAGCGAACCGCAAATAATAACAATGGTAAAAGTTCAAAAATTCCCACACCAGCGAAAAACATCTCACAAATGTTCAAAATATCTTCCATAATTCTCAACTTCGTAAGAATTACTCCGGATCTTGTGGACCAGCTCCGGTACGTTGCAATTAAATTGCAGAGACTGGATCATTCGCTCCTTTTCTTCCAAAGGGCGACGGGCTTTAAGTTTCCAGTTTACTTGGCCAAAACTACGATAAATTATCATTCATTCTAAGTGGAGCTTGAATGTTTCTTTTTCTTCTGATAGAGCTCAAAATTTTATGTCATTTCTTGAATCAAAGAAAATATATGATGATAAATAATTCAGTACAAGCTACAATCGAGCACGATAAAATCGAGTGTAACAATTTGTTTCTTACTACAGTTATCATAAACCAATTGCCACTTTTGTGCGATTTGGTAATGATAACGTAAATACTAGCGAATCAACTGCAACTATTGAAAATGCTGTCAATCAAATTAAAAGGAAATCAATTTATATTTTACCTATTCCTGATCCATTTATAAATTATTAAACTAACAAGACTATTGAAGTTATAAATTAGTATTGCCTTGATGCGTTAAGCAAGTTCAATGTTTTATGGTTTTTATTAATAATATCAAGTTATCACTTCTGTTGAGCGTCCCGTGACGCACACCTTTTGTTACGGTAGTTTTTCTGTAATTTGTGTATAGCAGGATTACATTTAGACTTTTGTTATTGCAGAGAAATCAAAGAAGAACTTAATAAAAGTCTAGCCAAAGAATCGGAAGTCATTATTAAGAAGAAAGAGTTGGAGAAACGTTGTGAAACTTTGGAAGCCGAATCGTCAACCGCTCGGGCAGATTTGCGATTAGCTTTGAAAAGAATAGAAGATCTTCAGTCTGCTATACAAGGAGAGTTAGAGGACAGCATTTCGAACGAGTCAGACAGTGACGAAGACAGCTACGGTTCAGACGAATCAGTGAACACTTTCCTGGCCAATCACAAAGTGGGTTCACCCGTCAAAAGCGAAAAATCTATTGCAAACGATGTTCGAAGGTAAGATCTTAGAATTTTATGCGAATGATTAAATTCTCCAACTACTGAAAACTATTATTCTTCGTTCTTATTAGTAGTTGAAGAGCTTTATGTTTCATAAGAGTATATGTGTAAAAAGAAGTAAACTTCTAGCGCGATTTTGACAATAAAGCGTTCTCGAAGAGCGACTATTAATATGGTTTGCATGATTCGCACTGTCAGTGTTGGCAGTTATCGGTTGAATAATCTGGGGACCCACAAATATTCCTTCTAACGTAACAAAAAACAATAAGTGGTTATTTTTCCAAGGATGATTTTCAATTTTTCTCCGTTCTCAGCTTTAATACAACTGCAACGACTTTTGAAAACGTAATTGACACAATAAATCAATATTTAAAGAATACCTTTCTACAATGTCCTAAATCTAATTCACATGAAAAACTTACCCTTTAACTTAAACTTAAAATGGAGATAAAATGTTAAATCACATTATTGGTTCTATTCAAAACTAACTTGAAAATCAAGTGCAAAATGTTTAAAATTAACTGACGATGCAAAAGAACGGTATTGGCGCTAGTTTTATCAATAAAACACTACCGTCAGTCCTTGATGGTGAAATGTTGGCCTCCAAAGGGGAATTAAGTTTAAAAACTGACAGTTTTTGGAGCTCAGCAGTCCCCGAGGGAGGTTTGTTTTTTACGACTTCCTTAAGTCTGCCCTGACGAACTAGACCTGTTGAGCCTCGAGCGTTGTTACCATCTAGTACTACATCAACTTTCCGTAAAAAAGACCTTTAGGAGATCAGGGTTGTGTAAGGCGTTGTGGTTCCAATCACTAGAGGTACTGCGCCCTTTATGGTACAATAAACCAGTAATTGAATACAGGGGCCCGTGTCCAATTAGACACCGGGTATACTAATATAATAAGGGGGTGCACGCAAGTGCCGGTGGGAGCGATGTTTTGCTTTCGATAATCGGGTGCGTACTGCCTAGTTATTTTTCCCTTGTCCGCCTGTAAGGGCACTTAAAAAAATATTTCCGTTAGATATCAAAGATACGACTGATGCGCTTGTTTCTGTTGATTTAAATCGGCTAAAATAGTTCTTGGGACTCAACTTTGATGCTTGGAGACGGTGATGTGCCCAATCCAGTGGAGCAACTTTAGCGGACTGTATTAAAATAATTGTCTTTACAGGCGCACTGGAGGCTTTACAGTCTTTTGAGTTAACACAACAAATAATATGAGCAAATTTATTGAATTCTCGCAGCACCAGTTGAATATATATCTAAAATTGTTACACTTGACTTGCTTTAGGTTTATGAAACGTTTCCTAAAAGTTTTTTCCTCTTCATCAATGAGCAGAACAGTATAAAAATGCCGAAATTCAGATTATTTATTAATTTTAAGCATCATTTAATATCACGACGATTGGTTATTATAAGATTAAAAGTTATTCGATTTTAACACAAGAAAAACTGAAATGAGGCAATTCAAAAAAAATCACGGCAATTCATCAATAAGTTATTTGATTTGAAAACAAGCAAACTCGAACCAACTCCATCGTTTGGTTGGGTTTCAATCAATGACCGCGAAAGCCTACTTCTTATTCAATATAGTTTCGAAATATAATTATGTTCAAGACTCGTATGTTTATGCATTGTTTCTGTTTTCATTTCTAGATTATCATCAACTAGTCGCTCCAGTACTTCGAGCAATTTAGGAAAAGACTCGTCGTATGCCTGAGTGAAGGAGTCCCTCTGCAAAACGATATCGATGACGTTTTGCATGCGAGAGGCAACTACAGAGGACAATGTTGTGGTTGAATTCGTCTAGTAGAAATCGAATATTTCTCCACATTCACATCTGAAAGGTTTGTTACCATTACAGCCATTTTTACTACTGTCAGGCATTTAAAATTTCACATTGCGACTACTTTGTATCAAACATCAGTGGTTATACCTAAATTCTTATCGTTAAGCTAGAATCTTTATGCAATAATGCTAGTGACGCCTCATATTATAAACCAACAAATCAGGTATAAATGTAAATCAATTATACTATTTCTATCAGCTATATAGCTGGCATATTCAGCGAAGCTGCTAGTGACTAGGTGCCTAACAATTATTTCTTATGAGGTTTTATATAACAGGCTTTTTAAAATTTGTATTTGATACTATTTTAAGCATATAGAGCAAGCAAATATTTAGATACTTAACATGTAACGCGTTTACAAAATTTTATTTTACTGCTTAATGTAATTTTCAATTTTTATACAGTTTAGTGTTGAATAAATAATAGTGGCTATATTATTTACATCCAATCGAATTGTATATTCGTAGTAACTTTTCTTATATTACTTCAAGTTAAAATCCTACAGATTTTTAGACTTATTTTATAAACTTAATACTATGAAAAGACTGATGAGTTAAAGCACTAGAAAGAAGATAGTTAATTTATTGTTGATTTGATTGTAAACGGAAACGTTGAAGAACGCATCGCCTTGATAGCACGGTAACCACTTAGGAGTTTTCAACAGTGGTGAAAATATCATTCTTCCAATAGGCAAAAATCAAATATTCACGTAGGGAAATGTAGTTGCAGAGCACGACTAAACTTCTATATTAGTTGTAAAGTGTTATAAATGTATTAATTTAATTAAAAAATAGATTCACCATATCGGTTTTTTTAAATGATTTTATTTAGTTAGTGTATATAGATTAACTGCCTGTATTTTTTGTGAATAGCTAGAACATAATTTATAATGGAAACTTTTGTATTAAAATAGAGTGTACCTATCTTAAGATTGGATATGCTTAAATCATACTTGTATAGATAAGTTTAATGTTGTGAAATATAATTACAGTTTATCAATTTAACTATTTTAGTTTTATTAAATTAATCAATAAATTCTGACTGATTTTCCAATACTAAGAGCGTATATTTTCAGTACAACTAAACCTTTTTTTACATTGAAACTACACAATAATTACGTCAAATAGAGTAAAGAAGCAACACGTTTATAAGAAAGAATGTGATCAATAAATAAGAGCAGATTGTGCTTCCAGTCTCAAAGCCACATCACTGCTGCTTGATGTGGGTTGAGTTTTAAACTTTCAAAGAACGAAAATGATAACCGGATTATGCGGAACCCAAATATCGAGCTTCTTGGCAAGTCCAATACGTGTTATATAATTTTCAATTGTTGTTTGCGATACATTTAACTGTTTTGCGATCTCGTGCACAGTTATAAGACGATTTGAATCAATTGTGACTGTTTGATATCCGGCTCAAACGACCAAAATGTTACTGCGATTGTTTGATATTCGGTTAGTGGACTGTAAACGCTCTTTACTTTRAATCGATTTATTTAATGACTCAAACTRAGATTGAACACGTATTTTGAATGGTGGTCTGTTGTCGACAATGCGACATGTGTTCAACTATAGCTAATGTTGGAGTTCGACTTCTATGCTTCGACTATAGATTTCGACTGTTTTTGGTTCTTTTCCATTTATCGTTCCASGGTACAGTTCKMTMGTSCCWGTGKTCGCTAGGGGGTCGGTCACTGTCCATTCAATCGTTCAAACTTATTTTTGCACGCCATGTTAAAACTGATCGAAATCCGGCAGTTGTAAACAAAATTACACTGAATATGTTTCAACAACAATCTGAAGATATCGCCTACCAAATCTCAAAACAAAAAAATGCTAATATTGACAAAGGAATAACGAAACACGAAACAAATATAACGCTGTTTACTGGTGGGGCACCAGAGCACTTACTAATATGATTTTAGCGTCTTAGTTAAAATTACATTAACGAAACTGTTTCCTCTATTTCCTTTTGACCAGAATCCAGTTTCAAATAGTCCAGTTTATCCGTATGTTCAAAATGCTCTGTGTGTTGTTGCTTCAAAAATTCTCACAAATCAATAATAACGAATCAAAATTCCTTACGCTTATGAGAGTAACCAAAGAATTAACTTATCAACCAAAAAAAAAATATATGAAAGTCGACTAATTGGTATAAAAGTTACTATAAAGAACTATTTAGAACTAAGCGGATTTTAATTACGCAAATCTACCACCCACCGAGGTATAGTTTACTACTTACCTAAAATATAAAAACCGCAGACTTACCTACTTCTGCAGGTGCTAAAGTGTCACAGTTTGAGCATAACCTGTTGGTACTAGAAGTGCTCAATACTTACTTTTTATGGGCTCATCTGCAACTTCTCTAGAAGAAATGTCTTCGTGAAACGTCTCTAGAATACTGGAAAGAATGTAAATATAAGCTCTAATCGTTTATGTAGATATACACAAAGAAAGCCATGTTAGTAGTTGCATCGAAGACAGACCAGACATTGTTAGTTATCTATCCTACAAGGCATACTAAGAGAAAAATTACATTAGATGACGGTTTTAACGTTTTTCCGTAAAAACATATACTCTCATGGGATGTAAGTTTGGGTAATCAATAGGTCAAATTCTACTACCAACACCATTAAATTAAATACGTTTATTTGCTAGTAAATCCACTACAGTATTTTCTTAATTTTCTAAGTCTAAAACATATATTTACATACGACTAAGATTTTCCATATAACACTTAATTCTGGATCTTAAGCTCGAAAAATTGATACCATTGAATATTTTCAAGAACTAACCATTTCATGGATATCCAAGATCTTTACATCTGATTACAATGAACTGGAATTCCTTTATAGAAAATTTAAAATTTCTTTTGTATTAGTAATTTATCTTCGGGTCACTCACGTTGTTGGTGCCTATTGCAAAATATTTACCTCTTTCAAATCATTACAAGAATATACTTATTATTCACTTTGATAACAAATCTTGATTGTTGATTTTACTTTTATCGTTAGCCATAACTTTTCTATGCGGAAACAATTAAATCTTGATTTAAAAAAGTTTGATTACAAGGTTCCTACTTTAGTAAACTTTTTATTTAACTAACTTACACTTAGTTCTCCAGTCATCCAGTCATCAACAGCTATTGCACATTTAACAACATGTTCATATTACTATAAGCTTGTTATCCAATGATATCAAATTTCTTTTTATTCTAGATATAATTGTTGTTAAATGAAATAATATGTATATTAGCAACATTGTTTTAAGTTAATAAAATAATGCGGTTATCTTGAATTTAGCCGATCTTACGCACCGCATACTTGCTATACGTAGATGATCTTAATTTAACCAAATTTTGTCAAAATTACGAAGTATGCGGTTAAAAGCTGAATACGGCAGAATTATGCTAATAAATAAATTGTAATGCGGCCACCAGAATTTCATTGTTCAGGCGGAATCTAATTATAGATCAAATTGATTAGTTTTAATATTCTAATGCTACTTTCTGCACCTCATTCTCTACTATGTTTTGCTATGAATTTGGGTGTGAATATTCTGCGCATAAAAATAAACTATTTACGATAAAGTTCTAATTAAAAATAAATAATTATGTTGATATAGATTTCTGCGTAGGTACTTGCGAACGATACGTTTTTGTTTGACTTTAGGCACTATAAAGTTGTAACCAGTTTGGTTAAGATGGTGATTCGATCGGTAAGGAAAAGCTTGCTTACTTGCTTGAAAATTAATGCGGTTGTGGTCAGTCGTAAAGGCGATTTTGTTTTAAAGTGTTCATAAAAGTTATGTTGTGTAAACGTTTTTAAATATTGATAATTTTGTAGTAATAATCGACCAACGAAACATACCTTTTACTTCAAACATTCAATGACTTAAGTGCTTTACGATAAGTCGCTAACGCATGTAAACTTACTCAACTGTAAACTATATGCACATTTAATCAAATGCAAAGTGGTCTTTGGTTTGTTCCTCTTAAGAAAGTGAAGACAACCAGTTACTGCAAAACCGTCGTTTGCTTGTCCTCTTTATGTATCGAAATGCCAATAATTTAATTATACTTACTGATATTCGAAAGATCTATTAAAAATTCTACATACTGATGACTCCCTCATTATTTTTTCTCAAATATTAAGTTCGTCAATATGTTCTAAAATCAAATATTACTTTTTTTATTTGTGAATAATTCCACTTTTTATATGTTGGGGCTACTAAAAGATAAAGTTCATGTTTTTGTTATTACAATATTTTGAAAGTTGAAGTTATGGATTGGCTTGTTGCAAAATGCATTTCTGCTGAGATTCTTAAGTAAAAACAGCCACTTTAGTAAATTTACTAATTTTAACCATTGTGAAATAATACTAATGCTTATCCTAGACAAACTAATAAGCGCAAATTAGATGGTAAATAGGAACCGTTAATGAACTACAGAAAATTCAACCATACGTTAATCGCAGTAAATTCGCTCTCTCTCTTATTGTATCCTCTTCTTGGTTAAAATATACAGTAATATATACAAAATAAGCAGCCAAATTCAGTTAAAACACGGAAATATGTATACAAAGACGAAACCGAAAAATGTCTTTTTAAGTAGAGTAGTCAATGTGAAGGTCACGATAACCTGGTATTGCGTTGCATTCAATTAAAAATCAAAAGTTTGTCTTTCAATTTCAGTTCTTTATTCAATAGAAACTACTTTATCTTCATCGCAACATTGTAGACTCTAATAAAAAAATAATAATCTGTTTGCGGCTTTTATATATATATTTGTTTAGTTTTAATGATTTATGGATCGTTTAGGATAATATAGGATAAATCTATATTGTAGATTGGAGGAAGCAGAGCAAATTTCCAACCGAAAATGAGAAGTTCGTTTGTTGTTGACTGCCATAACATACCGATCCAGAATATCTTATTTTCCAAGCTTCCTTGCAGTTACGCCAATGTGTTTAGAATTGGAGAAAGAAAATTTGAACTTTTAAAGTCTTTCGACCATTAATTTTCAAAAGATACTATAGCAATTCTTGGCATCGATAGTCTATTTAGAGGCAAATATTGAATAGGACATTTATTGCTAATTCATTTAATTATTTTAAAATTAATAAAATTGCATTATCAAATTTGTCCAAAATAATGTTAAAATTACTTTTTTGAATTTGAGCTTTCGAATTTCGGGAAGTTTGATTAAATTATCCCATTTCTAGATGAAGAAACTGCATAAAACTCAAAAACCTACAATGGTAATGTTTAATTTCCAAACAAAAACTGTAGGTTTGCCTACAATAAGCTATATGAAGGCAGAAATTTAAGTAAAAACATGACATTAAAAAATAAACTTTCTAAAAGAATCCCTTAAGACTCCATGTCCATCTGTGGGCAATTAGATCGATTTGAAAGCCAAAAGTCCAAAAGCCAATTTGCATTTATTTTGCGTTAACCAAAGAACGCACACTATAACTATATTAACCGAAGTACCACATTTACTCTTTTTTACCCAAAAAATGCGGGTAGTTTATATCTAGTGTTCAATACACAACAGCTAAACACGAACTGTCTACCTATTGTTTGTCATTTTAAAAATGTATATTATTACTATCGATCAAAGCGTCAAAATACCTCCCTAATTTTAGGTACGTCTTAGCACATCAAAATTTTACCCGAAATCGTTTAGAAACTTGTAAAAAAACGTTATCTTAACAAAAGAACACAGTTTTGAATAGAGTCTTTTAAAAAAACATGCAGCTATTAATGGGCGTATGAATGTTGTAGGCTGACAAATACGAAAAATGGTATTGTGGTAACAACTTTGTAAGTTCCGAATCGTTTTTATTGTCGACAAAACATGTTTTTTAAAAGACCCGTTCAATGCTCTAAAGCCTGGTACAAATTACTCTAACACAAAAAGCACACGTATGTAAAAACGGCTTTCCGAATTACTTACAAATAATTGTCTATTCTTATCTAACACACAGTTATTTATTTGATTCTACGTGAATAATTTTATTTTGTAAAAATTACAGCATATTAAATAAATAATTTAGATATTCCATTTTTATATTAGGGAAAATCAACAATGCCCTTAGCAATGTAGTACGAAAAATATTTAAAATAGTTTGGTAACAATTTCACGTTCTATATTCAAAGTTTGCGAACGCGTTATTTCAAATTTTTTAACCGAAACGCAAACAAAACACACGCCAAATATACGATTTAGCAACAAATTGCCCCCAGTTTTCGATATTTTCTCGGCAAGTCGCAAAGAATGAATCCACTTCATTATTATCTGATGTTGAATATAGAACTCAGACTATATTAAGTATATTCTCAATAGTTAATATCTAAGTCATAATTTAAAATATTCATATTTATAACAATATTATATTAACATTTAAAGGTATCACAAAAAATATTTCTCTTTTTTTCCAGAGATATTTTTTTAGTTCTTTCATTTTCTTAAGAACAAATAGAGATGTTTGAAAAGACATAGAATAGGAATAGTGATAGGTTTTGTGCTTGATTTTATGCATTGCCTAACTTAACGTGAATCAACAGGAATACTTAACAAACCTTTATATCGCTATAAAATTTAGTATCATAACTAATATTTTTTGAGGAAAATGCGTACAAAAAACTCAATTTAAAAGTCTAAGGGACTGACCTAAGGTCGAGAACGATGCAGAGTTTTATCATGTGATCATGTGATTAAACTGAGGCTGTTAGTTTGGTAGAACTATTTAAATTCACTTAGAGAAGATTTTAAATCTATTTGCTTGTAACGTGACCATACTACATTAAACCTTTTATAAAAAGAAGCCAATTAAAATTGACAGAAATATATATTAGCTGAAACAACAAGTCTTATATTTTATTAATCAGGGACAAGTGAAAGAATGGCAAATTGTACCTAAATTAACAAACCACGGCTATCCAACTATTGATTGCAATTTTCCAGCAGCAATATTGCGATTCAAAATATTTGCCTGTTCTGTCTTCTATAATTTATATGAAACTCTTTTTTCTGATAATTTACCAACATGTTGTTTTTATTTATTTAGAAAAACGATAACAAATTTGATATTGAAAAATTCAAGTAATTTTGTTAAATTAATTTCATTACTGATTGAAATTGAGAAAAGGGTTTGAGTGAAAACAAAAGAATTACACATTACACTTATTATCAGTTCATAATAGGTGATTAGAGCAAATTCCCAATTTACCGAAAACACAATTTTGTGGACAAGAAACCCCAATACATTTTTAGACTATGAATCTTCCTCTACCATATAGGACTGAATTCTATCTACAAAACTACCTTAATTAAGAATCTGTTTAAAAGTTTTTAAATATAACTGTTGATCCTAGAAAGTAGATGAAAAGTGAAAACGGCTTAAGTGCCATCCATTATGTAATGGGTTGTTTAGAAATGTAAATAATAATACTGGTTGGCGTTAGAAGACTCTGGGGCAAAGTATAAAAGATAAACTATTCACAAATAAGTCGAAATAAATTTGTGCGGTTTTGTTAAATGTTTTTGAGTTGGCACATAACGAACAATTGAGAATCTCAAAACTTTCGCGTTGAAACACACTCAAGCTGAATGTTCAGTTCAATGCTCTTATGTTCGTTAAGCGTACTATTGAGGTATTAAAGTGTTTTCCATAAAATAACAAATTGCCCATGGATTGTGCTCATTCAAATGGTCCCTCAACACATATTTGTGTGTTTCCAACAAGGCACCTTGTACATCAAAAGCATTCTTTCTATATACAAACGACTTACCTCTGACAATTCTGCCTCTAAGTCTGGGCAATTTTCTTTTTATGGAAACTTTAGAAAGGTTTACAGCAAGATTCGAATGGATTTTCAAAGATGACAGTATTTTTTCGAGTTAATTTTAGCATATTTTAACATTAGTGTCAGCGGTATAATTCTGTAGTTTTTAACCAGCTCTACAATTGAGCATTACTAATTTTAATAAAGTACCAACGGGTAGTTTTTGCGTCAAGTTTAATCAAAAGCAGCTGGTTCCAATATTAAGCTAATATGTAGCTCCGTACAAACAGTGGAGATTTTAGTAAACAAGGTGTTCCATACGTAAATTATAAAACTAAACATGGGAAAGCGAATCTTGGGTTACCTCAAAAATATTTGATACATTTCAACCTTCAGACTCAGTTAAAGCCTACCGAATGTAACAGTCTTGGCGTATAAATTAGTTTTTTTATCTTTGAAACTTGCTAATTAGATGTAATGGATTCAGTTCTCAACGATCAACTCTGACCAACTCATTCGACAGCCTCTAGTGGCAAAAATGTTCATCTAAATTAATTTAGTAAAAAATCTATGACAAAATCAAACGATTTTAATTTAAGATTATAAGTCTGCTTATTTGTAATTAAACATTTTATTTGTTTTTTTATTGTTTTTTATTTGATTTTTCGATTGTTCCTCAGAACTGATACGATATAATGATAGGAATATGAAAATAATGAAGATTTTCTCCTGCTGGAATAGGAAGAAGTATTTAAGTTATAAATGTTAATACCACAAACTGATTATTTACTAATCAGAATTGATTCGGAACAGATGTAATAAAAGTCAAAAAAAAAACATTCAGTAATTAAGGAAGATTTTCAAAATAACTCGTATTTTATTCAGCGTACAAATTATTCCTCCTATTAATAAACTTGCCTGTCGAGGTGCTTAAATAAAAAAAATACTATACCAGTCTAATGTCACAAAAAATAGTGAATTGAAAAACTTCCTGATAATTCGGGGCTACTTGATTGGTCAGCTGTCTAGTGAAAAATTAATTTGGTTATTTGCGTCTACATTCGTCGTATATTTGATATTGATTTGACGGCTACATTTAATTTTGCAATAAAACGGAGGAAAACATTTTACAGATAAAAATACATTGTGATTGTGAAATAAAACGTGAAAATTTAATTTTTTTAAATTTAAATTTAATTTTTTAACGTGAACTTTTATTTGACTCACTGACACTTTGATAAGTCTGACTTCCACTACTTTGCGAAATGAAAAAATGCAACCTTCTCCGAAGATTTCAACCCCTTGATCATTAAGCCTTTGAATCTGTATCTTTTAACGCATTTTGCAATTTATGTCTGAAACACCCTGTATCATGAAACCTGTTTTAGGTATTTGCTGTGCATGCAATGCAGTAACCATGCAAATATTCTGCAGTAAACCTTCCTGTTAAGCAAGATTATAAATATAATTTGATTGATCAGTTATTATAAATGATTATCCAGTTAGTTCTGCCATGGACTAGTAAATTGTTATTTGTTGTTCGTTCATTAAAGAGCTTCTGAATTTTTTGTTAAATTCCAAACACTAAATTTCGTAAAATTAAACTAAGCTAAACTAAACTTCGTAAACGAGTAAAATTACGATTAACATCAATTTTAATGGATGTTCTATTTAATGCTACCAGCAGATATACCTTATACTAAACCACACAATATGTTCTAGTGATTTAGTTGTAGGGGATTAAACGATATACGATAAACAAAATCCTTTGATGTGATTAGATAATTTGACTCAAATTTAGAAACGTTCTTATCCAACTCTTACTATATGTATGCAGAGTGATTTATTAGTATTCTAGGATCTTGAATATTGCAGGTAACGTATGCGTAATGGGCCGACAATTATTAATTACCAGTATACATCTTGAATATTTAGTGGATTTGCTAGTTTCCGTTTTGGTTTATTATTATATAACTATTTAAAACATAACTAGATAGAACCGACTTTGCTCAAAAGGGAATACCACTTTTTCAATTGATCTGAATCAGAATACGGGATTATTTTACGAAATTTTAATATCTCAAAAACAACACAATTTTATGGGAATTTCCAAACCTGTTAGAAGATGCTGTTAAGAAAAATGCACTATTAAAGGGTACCTTTTTTACGATCTGATTTTCAGAAGCAAATGTATTTTATATGGCGAAATTCAAAATAGATGCGAAAAACGGACCACTAAATTGAACGATCGAAAGCGACACCAAGAACTGTTAGAAAGTACTACTTTAAAATCAGTTCGAAAATATTAAGTAAATTAAAACGTTTTACATTAAAGCCGCAACATTATTAAAATCATCTATTTTATTCAAGGAATCATTTTCAATTTTTTATGAAAAGTGCTGAAGCGGTCTCGGAAATAGAGCAGTGACCGTTAGAGAGAAGACAGTGTCATCTTCATTTACAGGTTCCAAATTTGTTCAAAATTTTCCTACTCTAAAATAATGCATTCTGTTCAATATGCAAAAGTCTCCCAGTAGCTAATTATTTGTGCTTTAGCTGAATTACCCGAAAAGGTTGAAAGTTGCCAAAACTACTAAGCGCTAGTTCTTTTTATGCACTATACTAACCAGTTGCTCTGTGAATTCGTTCCTAGATACGCAATATCAATTATAATTAATTTAAAAGACGCCTTGTTGAGTTTTTTTAAATTTAATCTAATTTCAAGATTTTCAGAATAAATTTAAAAATTTCACAATGCCAACAGTGAAATTTTTGCAGGAGGCAAATCAGAATTTAATTTACTGACGGTTTTCCGCGATTGTAGTAGATGATAATGTAAAACATTCCACAGCTAACAAAATTTCCGAACTTTACGTTTAATTAATTGGATGTAAATTATATTCGTACGGAAATGTAACATTTTCACATTACTCTCACATGAGAGTTAGATAACAAAGCGCAATTTGTTTTTAAACCATCTCCTTGTAGAAGAAACATAACTTTTTCTTTAAGCAGAAAAGTCTTCCTTTAGTCTCACAGACTGCAAATCTGCGTTAAATTTGAAAGAAAAAAATATTTGTGTGCACTCATTATTGTCCAAAATTAATTTAACCGTTTTGGCAAAACAAACATTTTTGATTAATTTTTTCCGCATTTTTCCAAAAACTTTTTCAACATTCGTAAGTAATGGCGATCAGAAACATTCTGGATGGTTTTTAATTGATTGCGCTAAACATAACATTTCATAAATCTATTCAGAATCAAGTCAGAAAGTGATGCAATATATGAAAACAGAAAAATTTAACAATTCCATAAGACACTCTGTCTCTGTCTCTGGGTATATAATTATTAATTCTGGTCCATCGGGTGTACGAAACATGAAAACTTCCAATAAAAGCGTTCGAATAAATCACACTGCATGAATTGCTAATCATGGAAACAAGTTCATTGGATAAAAACATATTTTTACGACAGTCTAAATTGAACAACTTAGCGCCGTTTTAGTTCAAAGCATCTTACAACTGATGTTTCCAAATTTTCATATTTATTGTAATCCCATACAACTAGTAGCAACAGCACCAAAGAAAAATAAATCAAACATTAAGCAGGATGTTCAAAAGAAATTGTTCACTAAACAACGTGTCCAAGTTTAAATAAGAAAAATCTGCAGTTAAAATATGCAAGATAAAAAGCCATGTTTTTTCCAATTTACAGTGAAGTGCTTTATTAAAAAACAGAATGCTAAACGAGGTGAAATGTTGGGATGGCAGTTAATGAATAGCAACGGCAATGTAGGTGTTGACAAAGAAAATGTACTTTTCTTAAAATTTAATATATAATTGGCAGTTAACATTTAAACTTGGGTACGTTGGTATACATAATCTTATTGTCAATTAATTGAATGTTGGCAATTGAAACGATTTTTGTTAGTACATATATAAATAAGAGTTTAGCAGATGTAGGGGAGTAGTAAATATAGTAAGTAGCAGTTAGAATATGTTCTTACGTGCACCGGTTTCACGGTTTGTAAAATTACTCCGGTTTTAGCCGATGCCATTGCACTATGTTCTGTCTCGGTTTCGTAATCATGTCTTGCCAATGTTTTGTTTCGGATGCGCCTGATCCATTTTTGCCTGAAACAAAAATAATAAACTTATTTCTGAGATCAACGAAAATATGCGAACATATCTGAAAAATGAGGAAAGGAAGGGGAAATCATAGAAAGGCGATACTACGAGTCTTAGTCAAGCCGAGATTTATTACTTAAAGGTCAATATTTTTGTACGGTTATTCAAATGTCCCGCAAAAATTTCGTATCTTCATCATGAAAATTTATTTGTAAAAGCGCTGAGACACGTAACTCCAATGTGCAATTACTGTACAACTTTTTGGGGATAACATTTATCAAATTTTGAAGATCTTTTTAGCACCCAGATCGCTATTTAAAAAAAGTTTGGGTAGATGCAAGTGAAGGGGTTGTATGAATTACTTACCACCAAAAGATAAATAGTTATTTCATTAAAATTGCCTGCTTCAAAGGTTTTAGAAAAAATTGTTCATAAAAAGATGTAAACTCTACGTCGACATTTTGAACAAACCTGCATATATATTAGTCGAAACGATGTCAAATCATTTCAGACAAATTGTATGTTTACGGAGTTATTCATACCTTCAAATTTGTGACATTATACAGTGTTTAATTTTTTCGCGATATTTTAGTACAAGTTCATTTTATAAAATCTGATCGTTAAGTTTTATTCATTGGGACCAGTCTTTTTGTCCAGTTGCTTTTGTCGCATTTATTTTTTCCTAACGTACCAATACTAAATATGCATATGTACAGGGCTATTGATTGAACTAATTTGAAATTTAGAGAAGTATGTTAAATACAAAACTTATAGATATTAACGTCTAGTTTATTTTGATTTGTTAATTGATACAGGATGTCTCAAATTCAAGTGACACACCAAACTTAGCTTTATTTAAATAGGAGGCCGTACTTTTTATTGCATATTCGAGCTATTCCTAAAATTTTAGGCCCATTGTATATAAATGTTCTATAGTGATTTTCAACTGTTTTTTGGTTAATTACCAATATTAATCGAACTTTGGCCACCCGGTTTTTGCCGCTAATTTGATATTTAGAGCAAAATATTATATACAACAGTTGTAGATATTGGTATCTAGTTTCTTTTAAGATAATAACAATTGCTACAGGGTGTCTCAAATTAATGTGCCTGAGCAGACTCAAATTATTATAAATGGAATGCCTGAATATTTAGATGGTTATTAACTCAAAAACAGTTGAAGATCGATATAGAACATTTATACGCAAGAGGACTGGAATTTTGCGTATAGTTCAAATATGAAATAAAAATTGCGCGATTCCATTTAAAAAAATGTAAGTTTGTATCGCCACTTAAGTTTGAGACACCTTGTATCAATTGGTATTATCTCACAATAAACTAGCCGTTAATATCCACAACTTTTGTATTTCAACTTTTTCTCTAAATTTCAAATTAGATGCAAAAACGGGGTGGCCGAAGTTCAATCAATAACCCTGTACTTGTAACCCAAACACAAAAAATTGACAMAACACTAAATATTATATTAAATTCGGAATTTGCATTTTAAAGAAGTCGAAAACAATATCGTTGAAAGTCTTATTGTGCAGATAGAATGATCAAAAATACTCTTCGGTTTTCATTAGGATATGGAAGAATTTGGGTTTTAAACTTGATATAAACCTTAAAATATTTGCTAACGATTTGCACGAACGCAGTGAACATTGCAAGAAAGAACATTCAATTCTTGAATATTTAAATGCACACCGCATGTCCATCGACAAAGAGGTTTACCATTAGGTAGTTTTTCTTTTCAAAAGTATTCATACTGAAGTCTAAATGTAGTCCAAATGGTATACGTACGCGAAATTATCCGAAAATTAAAACAGCACGAAATAAAGCAAAACAATATATTTTTTTTGTGAAAACGCAGCGGCATTAAAGCCAGACGGGAATGACAAATGATTATAGAATACTGATTTATTAGCCACTTTTTCATTACAAATAAATCGTCCATTTGATTATATGGGCTCCACAATTCATCGATTGTTGTTAGTTATTCGATGTAAAATACAGTTTGATTCAAAATTGGCGTCATTCCGCTGGAGGAGTAGTCTTGGGAGTACAGAAAAAATAGTAAAATAAATTAAGTGTTATTAAAAACTCAGATATTTGCAAAGAACTAGATCAGAAGAATGGCAACAATGTTTTGAAGGTCTGCCTAATTAACATTACGTAAATACTTGTTCCTTCGTAATTATTAAAAACTCCGGTAACCATGAAAAACCAAAAAAAATTTTTGAGTTTGACAAATGCTGATTATTATTGACAAAGGCTGTCTACCTCTAACTATCTGTTAATGACAAAAAACATCATTGCCGCTTGACTTTTCATCAAAAAATTGTAGAAGACTAATCTTTTAATATCAAACATTTTCGTAAATTGACAAAAAGATGGTAATTTTTCTTTTCAAATGCTTGAGTTTTCCAATAGGCTTCCAATCAAACGTGGGAYCCCTTCAAAATAATGCTTAATAACAAAGTTGAAATTCGATCTTCAACTGTTAATCTAATCTTAAAATTTTCGAAAAAAAAATTTTCAATATTTTTTACGTACTTTCTAAGTGGCTATATACCCTTAAAAGGAATGACGCCAATTTTGAATCACCCTGTAGACATTAGCATTGTAAACAACACAGATTATTCTCCAAAAAGTTTAATGTATAACTTGGCATTTTATGTAAATCCATTATTGTTCCAGCAGATTTATAAACGTGTGGATAATTCGGAAAGGAAAACTACAGGAATATAAAAATCATATAAAATTTGCAATTAAATCAATGAATGAGAAAACGTATACGTAGTAGGTAAGAGAATTTGTGCCAAATGATTGAGCGACTGTCCTTAATACTATTATTATTTACAATTATAGTGTAGGAAGCTTTTTATTTTTGATGTTTGAACAGTCARACATTTTTTATTTTATAATCGYTAAAGTWACATTTCGAGGTGAAGTCGAATAAATTAATATATTTTACTGTTTTCTGGAAAGCCTCCAAATTTTSGTAAAAATTGGTACAAACCGTTTCCAACTGTTAATTTGTGCGATTTATTCAAATATTTTTCACTTTACCATCCTTGTCTTCGTTTAAACTTTKTTTTAAATTTTACCTGCAAGCAATATCCTTCCTATCAGCTCATTCCTTCCTATATTATCGAAGTCCATTACCATGACGTCTAAGGAACACTCCCTTATTTTCTCCCATGGCACATTGAAAGCAAACGTATCGTTGAAGACGGGATTGAGAGTGCATTTGTAGATGGCTGTTTTACGTTTCTCCACTCGTTTGTCACCAAATTGTAGCCAGACTTTTACATAGGGATCTGAAAATAATGGCAATTATAAAAATTAATTATGCGCTCAGTTTGAGATTCAAAATATATTAGCTACTAACATTTTCTAAAACTATTTTTAATATTTTCTAACTTATGTTTATAATTGAGAATACCAACAATAGGTACATTTATTCAATTTGTCACACACTAAATTTGGAAATTTATCAAAATTTATGGCGATATCATCTACCAATATTCAAATTTTCGGGTTTTGAAATAGTTAATATTTGGATGGTCTACTATTGCTAGTCCTAGTAAGGTTTAAACTGTGGAAATGTCGCCTTCAAAATGGCCCTAACTATTATTTTTGTCAATTTATTTTTACTGTCTGTGCAAGTTTTATCTGACGATAGCCGGTTTTAGACGAATGATAAAAATGAGAAATTA